ATGTATGACAAATAGTTTTGTTGCACTTGTGTACTTTGAGATTATGAACATGGGTCAGTGGAAGTTTTTAGTTGTCAGTACAAAACTAGATTATGGGAAATCACTTGATGATGAGTTGTACCCACAAAGAGTACATATTTATTCACCTGTTTGCAGATGTTCCTTGTACTACCTGTATTTTATAATCAAATAACGGGGACTGTGACATTTCATGTCTTGTTGTTTTGAGAATAATGTACAAAATAGTATTCATATCAGCTGGTGTAGATTAGCGTCAGCAGTAACACAGAAAGCACATGTGTCTGTACCTGAGAGAAGTGACAAACATAAATATCATGCATCTAATTAGTATTTAAAAAGTACAACATTAGCATATGCTTTTGTAGTCTCCCTGAATAAATTGGGAAAAACAAGTCTCTAGGTAATATTTGCAATAAACTTAGTTCCTGGTGTACAGTTATAATTATCAATGCAAGATGTATACTTAACCTGAATCACATTGGATTATTTCTTTATCTATAGGAAAAAGTTCCTGGTGGTGGAAACAAACAATCAGAATCATGTGTCATAAACAGTAATGCCTTACTTGCTCGTGTTGAGCCAGATGGTTGCAACACTGAACCAGAATCATATGTCACCTGCAATGCCAGTAGTGAACCTGTTGACTACAACACTGAAACAGAATCACATGTCACCCACAATGCCAGTAGTAAACATGTTGACTGCAACACTGAACCAGAATCACATGTTAACTACAATGCCAGTAGTGAACCTGTTAACTGCAACAAGGAACCAGAATCAGATGTCACCCACAAATCCGGTTGTGAACCTGTTGACTGCAACACTGAACCAGAATCACATGTTACCCACAATGCCAGTAGTGAACCTGTTGACTTCAACACTGAACCAGAATCACATGTCACCCACAATGTGAGTTGTGAACCAGATGGTTGTAATATAGAACCAGAATCACATGTTAACCACAAAGCCAGTTGTGAAACTGTTGACTGCAACACTGAACCAGAATCACATGTCACCCACAAGGTGAGTTGTGAACCAGATGGTTGCAACTGTACCAGAATCATATGTCACCCACAATGCCTGTAGTGAACCTGTTGACTGCAACATTGAACCAGAATCACATGTCACCTACAATGCGAATTGTAAACCAGATGGTTACAATACTGAACCAGAATCACATGTCACCTACATTGCCAGTAGTGAACTTGTTGACTACAACACTGAACCAGAATCACATGTTACCCACAATGCCAGTAGTGAACCTGTTGACTACAACACTGAACCAGAATCACATGTCACCCACAATGCCAGTAGTGAACCTGTTGACTACAACACTGAACCAGAATCACATGTTACCCACAATGCCAGTAGTGAACCTGTTGACTGCAACCC